CTCTGTCTAGGCAGTTTTTTAAAATATGATCAAATGTCCCGGACTTTGTTCTGCTCTGCTCAGCATTGATGCTTTTCCCAGCCCTTCCCAGCTTGCCCTAGCAAGGAGCTGTCTGGGGCTGGGGGAAGGAGGAGGAGGGCAACTGGAAGCAGGGGGCACTACCTACATGTGCAGGCACAGTCAGGGTGGCAGGAGCAACCCCGGCAGCTGGATGCAGGTAAGTCTATGGGGAGTGGGAATTGGAGGGCCAGGGGCTTGGGGAGTGTGTGTGTGTGGTGTAGGGAGGGGACAGGTGCCTGCTGCTGCTGGGGGAAGCTGCCTAGGCACTGGGGCTGCAGCAGGACAGGGGGGAGGCACCTGCCTCTCCAGCAGGGGAATGGTATTGGGGGGCGGTGGGGATAGAGAGGCTCCTTGGCTGCAGCGGGGAGCTGCGTGGCCAGGCCGGTGGCACTGGGGCTGGTGCCCTTGCTTGTAGTGGCGGGGTGGCCAGGAGATGCTGCAGGGCTGGGGGAAGCAAGACTGGAGGGCCTGTGGCTTGTGAATGAGGGGCGCCTGGGGGTGGGGGACGATTTGTCGGGAGTGTGGGGCACTGGCAGGATCAGGGGGCTGCAGGTCAGAAGTGAGGGGCACCAGACGAGACAGGGGGGCTGTGTGTTGGGAGTGTGGGGCACCAGCATGGTCCAGAAGGGTGGGGTACTGTGGGTTGGGAGTAAGGGGCACTGGCAGAGCCAGGGGTCTGTGGGTCAGGAGTGAGGGGCAGCAGCAGGGCTGGGGACTGTGGCCTGGGAGCGACAGGGCACAGTCTGTGGCCTGTATGGGCAGGGGCAGAGCACTGGAATATCACTGTCCCCCCACAATCATATAGCATCCACTCCCCGCCCCCCAACAGGTGTCCTCTTTTATTGAAACTGGAAATATGGTAATCCTAGGTAAAAGGAGAGCAGACACATGACACAACCCTGTAACATGGTCAATCTCTTGAATCCAGGTAAAAGTTACTCCTTGAAAAATCTAAGCAACTTTTCTACATGGGGGAAGTTATTACATGCAATGTGTTGCGTCTGCTTCACTAGTAAACTGCATCCTACTGTGCATTGAGCCTATTGCTCAATGCACATAGAGTCCCTGGCACCTAAAGGTAATAGCTTCTACTACAGGCAGCCCGTTTAGCAGAGCTAGCCTGTCATGTGTCTGATCCTTATTAAGGAATAAAACCCAAGATAAGTACTCTGTAATTATTGTGCTGTTTCTGCATCTGGAGGAAGTCTAAGCTTTCTCAAGAAGCAGTTTTAAGCAGACGGTCAAAACAAAAATATAATGCAACAAAACAATTTACAGAGGTTTTCAGAATAGATTATGATAAAGCTTTCATTGGACTGAAATTTAGTCAAGAGTATTAACTACCAGGTATAAAGCCAATCATCACAACTACAACCACCTCTGAAAAATCTCAGACTAGACAAAAGAAAAGGAAAAAAAAAAGACTAATTTAAGTTCTGCTCAGCAAATCCAAGAAAATTGTTTTAAAATTATTCCTATCTTGGATTACCCTGGGTTGCCTATAATCTTCACATTTTACTTACAATGAATTCTATACAGAATAAAGGAGAAAAAAGGCAACAACTCATAATATACTTTAACCAACTAACCTTCATTTTATGGAAAGGCATTAAAGTTTGTTTTGCAATAGTAAATATTTGAGCCACAGCCACTATCAAGCAATTCAAACAATTGAAACATTTCAAACAAACTAAAAACCAAACAAACAATCAACAAACCAAGGGAAATATCAGTTGTAAGGAAAGGATAACGGGACAACAATCGGTACGTACTTCCTGCATTTTAGCGCTAGCCATGTGGAACACTAAAAAGTTATACCAGTACATGCAATCCTCTTCACCTGGAGTAGGTATACATAATCTATAATGTTTCTTGTACTGTTTAACAATCTTTTCATGCAGCTCCTGCAACAATTAAAACATCTTCAATTAGTATCATATGAAAGCTAATAGGGCATCGTGAAATTTCGGCAGACGTTTCGTTTCAGAGGTGTTTCAGGCTGTTTTGGGGCCTGAAACACTGAATCCGAATCAAAATGGAAGGCTCCAAAACATCTCCGAAACAAAAATAGGAACCTGAAACGTTTCGGAAATGTTTTGGAAAATTTCAGAGTTTCGGAGCCGGGCTTGCAGAGAAACAGCTGTATGCTGCTGCCCTGCCACGTGACTCGACACGGGGCTGCAGAGGGCGGGCAGCAATGGTGAGGAGACCCCCGGCATGGATCTCTGCTCCCTGCGGAGCCAAGTTGTGCAGCAGGGCAGTGCTGGTCCCTGCTGCACGACCTGGCTCCGCAGGGAGGAGAGATCCGGGGTAGTGTGGGGCTCTGTGTGAGGGTCTCCTCGCCTGCACGGAGGGTAGCAGCCCTCCCCCGAATGAGCCACCCACGGCCCTGTCCTGCTCCCTGCTGGGGCCCTGCAGTCCCGGCCCCAAGCCCCACCTGGCTGGGCAGTAGAGCTGCGCGAAGCTTGCAGCCCATTCAAAATGGATTCGGAGGAGATTCAAATCACTGAAACAGATTTGGCCAAAACGAAACAGGACAAGGATCTGAAACACTGAAACAAACCACTGTCCTCCGAAACGGCCAAATCTGAAACCAAATCAAAACACAGCTGTTTTGCACAGCCATAAAGCTAATAATATTGCTATTAGCATTTGTCTTTAAAAATATTTTATTGAATGAATCTATTAAAATTTTTCTGTCACCATATCTACAAAGTGCATAATAAACTAAATAAGCAGATCAATTAACTAAATATACCATTTGAAAGGTTACTTTTCTTCATATATTTTTTCCTACAGCATCTTCAGAGTAGTTTTATCTTTAAGACAGCAACATTTTCAAACAAAATCTCAATGAAATATTTGTAGTATACAAGCGTTTTAAAAAGAAAAGAGTTCCACAATTAATTTGCAAACAGGTAGACATGACTGTGCAATAGTAAAGTTAATAGGTTATCTATTTGTCTTCATAATGTAGTAACTGATGACTATAAACTTTTTTCACATCCTCACAGATTCCTATATTAATTACTATATTGAGGATGTTAAAGCAGGTTTTTTTTTTGCTGAAGTGTTATTATTCTATTTCTTTTCTTCAAAATGTATACATTTTATGTCCCTTCAGATACTAAGCTTGTTCACTATTTGTTAAGGAGTACCCTTAGGAATAAGATGATTCTAGAGTAACACTGGAAGAATGTCATCGATATCATGCCCCAAGAACATCCTCAATACAATCTAGAAAAAGGGTGACAAAAAGAGGTTTTCAAAACCTGTACATTCAAAACTTAAGTTTATAATTAAGTTTACATCTCAAAGGATGCATCATCAAAAAGCTTTAGCTTGAATTGTTACCAGAAAACTAGTCACTCTACTATTCTAAACTTTTCAGCAGCTGCTAGGAAAAAGATGCTACAGATTCACATAATCAAAATGAACAGCTCAACCTTTTAATGATGTACCTGTAATTTATATGTCAAGACATAGGAAGAAGTTTAAATGCATTAGCCTTTGGATATTTCAAATGATTAAGTCAGAACAATAGGTTGATAAAGCCTTTCACAGTAATTGTGTTCTGATTAGGCAAAAGGTAGAGCAGGTGGGCACCTTACAAACCAGTTCAAAGAAGCATGGCCCTAAACTAGGCATACTACTCTGAACCACCAAAATGCTACCACTACTGCTGTGTGAAATAGCACTGTTCTGTTTCAACTTGCATTCTGACATTTCAATTTGAAACCAGTGTTCCGTTTCATTGAAACAGTGATGCTGTTTTGATGTTTCACTCATAGGCTATAATGGGGAAGCTTGAAACAGTCTCTCTCATCTGGCAGGCAGATCGGGGGCCTGCAACCCCAGAAGGGCTGCGGGGCAATGCCAGTCCTCCCAGGGTTCCGGGCCCCCTATCTGCCTCCCAGATAAGCAGGTGCTGCTGCCTGGGACCACTGGGCTGAGTTGCCTTCCCCAGCCCGATCCTAGCACTGGGGAGGGGGACTCAGCCAGGCTGCTTTGAAACTTGAAACATTTTGACTGCCCTTGTTTTGTTTTGAGGCTGTTTCAAAGCCCTTTGTTTCGTTTCAATTTTGCTGTTTCGAGCTCGAAATGAGTTGAAACAGTGTTAAAATGAAACAGCCACCAAAATTTCACACAGCCCTAGCTACCATGCCTTACCTTCTAACTTCACACTACCATGGCTCATCACCTCTATGTTTTGATTAGAGAACTACACCCTGAGCAAAATACTGAAAACCATGTTGGCATCAATATTTAAAACATTTTATACTTATCAATCATAAATTGTCACTCCTGGTGTTTTTATGTATTGCACTAATTTCCCATTATTAATCTTGTTTCTCTACTCTACTCTCTTTCACGCTGCCTGCTAGTTATGCAACATTAAATCTATTCAATGAGTAGGGAAAAAGAAAAAGAAAAAAGTTGGCTGGTTTCCAATCACACTCTCATTTGTTATGGCAGTTTCATGCAAAAACCTTCAAAACTCACACTTTTGCTTATCTGTGGTAAATGCAATTCTAATGGCATTTTGATGTGCCTCAATATCATTGATGGAGCACTATATCTTTTACTGGCAATAAATCACAGGCAGAAAAACAACAGAGAAAAGATGACATTTATCTAAAAGAGGCTCCTAACTCCAGAACAAGCCTGTTGTCGGCCAAGCTTAATACTTTTGTATTTCACAATATCAGAATTGTTAAAATTACGTATGACTGGAAGAAAAAAAATCTGTCATTAATTTATTTGAAAATAATCTGTGTTAAAACTGCATGTAAAAATTTGTTTTTACAATAAATGGTTTAGCATCAAGGAACATGAGGATTACTTTTCAGACCCCTGTTGATTTTCTGTCATAGAAAAGCATATACAATTTCCATACCTGACCTGTGTTAAAAGCATATTTCAGTTTGTGGATACACTACCTGAAGTTGCTCACGATTCTTCTCTATGAGGAAGTCAAGTTGAAGATCATGCAAATAATAATGGAATGATTTCCCATTACGATCACAGAATAAGAGAGATTTGTTTACAAATTCTTGCTGCATGTCTTCAACTTCTTCAGGCTCCATATCCCAAAGAATACAGAACACCTAAAAGCATTTTAAAACAAGAAAGGTAGAAGGAGGGAATCAATCTGACCTTTTATACAAAAGTTATAAAAAGTTACAACTTGCAGGTAATGCTCTGTGTAGGGTGAGGGCTAAAAGAGCTGTTCCAGGAACTAAATTAGACCTGGGATTCTGTGCCCCTAGGAAAAAGGGTGACCAGATAACTCTAAAAGCTAAATCTGCCTTTCTTCTTCTTTCTCCCCAGGAGAAGATTCAGGAGCGAACCAAGTCTTGAGGATAGCCTGAGAAAGCTCTACTCTGCACTACTGACTATATACTGGGAGCCCTTTAAACATACGCTAGACCAAGAGCAGTATCTGGTATGTGACAGAGAAAGATATAGTGACTCCTCCAACAGACACAGCCCATCACTTAATTCATCCCTTTATCTCCATGTCCTGATTAACAGTCATCATGCTTACTTTTGTAAGCAATCCCAACTACTAACCATTTTTGACATGAAGTAGAACAGGCTGTGGGCTGAATCTGGCCCACCATGGAATTTTATCCAGCCTGTGGTGGGTCCTTTGGCCCCACCTGGCCCAGGCACATGGGACAGCCTGAGCCATGGTGTGTGCGGCTGGTCCCACTGCACTTGGGCGCATGGCAGTGCAGGAGCAGTCGCTTCCCAGCTCCTTCTAGCTGCCGCTGCCAGTTTCACTGCCACCGGACCTGGGTCCACTGCCCGGGCACCCCAGCCTGTCCTCCTTGCACCCACTGCTGGGGGTGCCAGATAGAGTGGGGGGAGTGGGGTCTCCATGGGGACCAGCACACAAGTGGACAGGGCCAGGTCAGAGATTGGGATCACGGGGAGGTGACAGCACAGGGGCCAGGGCTCCACACACATCCCTGCCAGTTCCGTAGGCAGAGGCAAAGCCCTGGCCCCATGCCATCACCACCCCACAATCCCAATCCCCGGTCTGGCCTGCCCACCCATCCTGCACTCAGATGCCACTTCCTGTCCGCCCGTGGGCCCATCCCATCTGCCTGGTTGCGCGCCCTGCCCACGTGAATCACAGCCAATCTCCATGGAGACCCCGGGATCACAGGGTGGTGAGAGCACAGGGCCAGAGCTGCAATCCATCCCATGCACACCCCTGCCCACAGAACCAGTGCCCCTCAAAGGGGCATGTGGGAAGCTGATCACAGCTCTTCCTTGGGTCCCAGCCCACATTGTCATCACCCCACAATTCCAATCCCAGCTCCTGCCCCGCTCCCAGATGCTGCTCCCTGCCCACCTGTGGTCTCATCCCATCCACTCAGCCAAGCACAGGGCAGAGCTACTTAGGGAATTTCGATGAGCTGTCACTAAAACTCCCTAAATGGCCCTCCAGCCCAAATAACTGCCCACCACTGAGGTAGATGGTAGAACAGGGTGGCAATTTACAGACTATCTGATTCAGAGAAGCATGAGCTTTCATAGGCAGCAACCTACTCCAGCAGATACTATGAAAGGAGTAGGTTGCTGCCTATGAAAGCTCATGCTTCTCTGAATAACTCCCCCAAATAACTACAAAAAGAAAGGACCTTCAATCCCACCAATTATAAAACATCAGATTTGGCATAATTACCTTAGTAGGCACTTTAACATCCTTTGGAAGAATAGAAAGATCTTTATAGAAGTCTTTAAAGTTTTCATTCAGCATTTCAACACTTATGGACATTGCTTCATCGAGTGCTTCATAATCATAAGAAGAAGATTTCTTTATCCTTCTAAATTGCTTATTCTGCAGCTGTCTGAGATAATATTCCCAACGATTGGGGAAATCACGTAATAATGCGCCTATCAATGATAACACAAGGGGCGAACCTGAAAATATCAAAGAAAAGGACCAAAATCTCAAATGAGGATAAACTACTATTGGATCCAAAAGTGTTTTCATCAGCAACTGCTGTTCTAAAAAGGCTAGCTCTTGTTTTAGCAACAGAAGTCTTAAAAGCCAGGTGGGAAAAATATGCAACATAGATACTTGTGGTATGAAATGTATAGGATTCATCTAAATACTCTTCCTGCAAGTACTCTGAACAGAATTAAACAAGATAAAGAAATGAAAGGAAGAAAATCCATTAGGGTCACTTAAAGAAACAAAGGGAAATCCAGCAGTAACATGTTGTTTGTTTAAAGTACTACAGCATGACAGAATCCCTCCTAAATTATGTTTATGTAATAGAAATTACAAAATACAAATGTTTCTGAAGTAGTAAAAAATAGTAAATACCATACCTTTGCATTCTCTTACAATTTTATCAGCTTGGGCAGGCATATCTTTTATTTTCATATCAACAAAGAGAGATAAAATTTCAAGTCCCTTCTCATCATTCAATCCACTTTCCATGTGAACTTCATATTTCCTGCCTAAGGTAGGTTTACAATTAAAAATAATTAAAGAAAGATTTAGAGAGTTAAAAATCTTAATAAAAGTATACAAAATATTTAAATTAGCTTGTAAGCACTTCCAAAACAAAACATGAAACAAGGAATATAGATTGAAGACCAAGCTCTTCCTTCTCTGAAATATACAACAAAGATCCTTTTGGACCAACAGTTGTGGGAAGAGGGACAGAAACAAGTTTTATTAAACATGCCTTTGTTTTTGGCAGATAAGCCACAAGCAACCTAGTCATGATAGCACAGAGCTCTATACAGGCTAACTGACCCTATCTCCAACCCAATAAATATAGTATTTTAAACTTACTACAGAGCTCATTAATTTAGATACAACTCCACTTCATTTGGATGTTTCAAAACTGTTTGTCAAAAGATATACTTGAGACTATACTAATGGGTAAAAGTGTCAAACCAATCCCTATTCCAAAGTGTTAATATTTTTAATATCTGAATATAAAACATAATGGGGAAAAAGTACTTAAAAGTTTCACGTGCATACTATTCCAGAATGAAAGGATGCCTTGAAAAGAGTAAGAGAACTCGCAAATTTGAAAAGAAACTGACAAATGCCAATTTTCCTTCAATGAGCATAATTAGCTCTTAAAAATAAATCTAAAATTGTACTATTCTTATTTGCAACAATAAAGAATAATGCATAGCATAAAGGTAGCAGGAGTAGCTATGCCTGAAGTGATCTGTAAAAAGCAGCAGTTGGAAGCCCAGGACCCCCTCCATCCACAGATCACTGGGAAATAACAAAAGCAGCCCTGCAGTCTAGAACAGGTGAATATTGGTGAGGACCATGCTTAGCAGCAGGAGAATGAAGCAGAACTCCACAACCACCTTAGGTTTGAAAGAAGATAAAAGAAGCTGGGGTAACTTTACGGAGAGGATACTGAAAGGGGAGTTCTGACTCTCAAATTAGAGGATGTGATCTGTAGAGTTATGCTTCCTGTCTCTAGACTGCAGACCAGAATGGAGGGTGTTTGATTCCTGCCCCCCCGCCACATGTTTTTGGGCTTTGCTGGTTGTCTCAGGGGGCTGGGAAGGAGGCAGATTCAAAGGCACAAAGAATGAGCAAGTTGCCGGCCAATCTGATGAAAATTAATCTTCAGGTAAAATACGAACATAAAGTATCCATTATGGAAATATCTGCAAGTAGCACACAATTATAGGACATTCATATTATTAATGAGAGTGCATAAAAGGACTTCATTATGTGTGGGCTCACTCAGTGGACATAAACTGAAAAGTTAACTAGCAATTTGGGGCATCTGATTTGAGGTGCTTGAAAGAAGCCGGGATTTTCAGAAAGCACAAAGTACTGATCCTCTGAAAAAGCAGTTTTCAGTATTAGCAGTGCCTAAATTCTGCATCCAAAAATGAAGATATTTTAAATGACTACTTGCTTTTAAAATCTTGGTTAACAAGCTCATCTGCTTACAATTTGTCTATTTTAAAAAATAAATGCAGGTCTTGGAAATAACAAAATGTTGTTTTCAGAATCACCTCCAAGTGGAGAATTGTATCAAGTGGGATAATAAAAATATTTGCAGAACAAATATTTTATAAAATTCTATCAGGAACAGCATAAATTTAATAATGATTAAGTGTTCCTCCCTCCCTTAGTACAAAGTAAGGAATCTAATTGCAAAATGATTCGGAGAGCTTGGAAAAGCTAATTTCCAAATAAAATCAGATTAATTCCTAATACATACATTCAAAATATCTGTTAACATTCAGTAACCTCCAGTTAATATTTTTGTAAACATTCTTCATTCAAATTCAATTTAGAAACATACACAGACTGCATTTATTAACGGATTTCCATTTCAAGGGAAAGATCACTGCAGAAAATACAAAGTTTGGTGACTTCCATATCATTACAACCTACCATGGGCTCAATCATCCACTCCTTAAGACAAAAGAAGAAAGGAACACAGTCTGTTCAGCCCTGCAGGGAAGGCAAGAGTGGCTTATAATACCCCATCCCCATGACTTTCTTTATCTGACCTATACAACATTTTTCATGTCCTTCAAAGGGAAATTTGTCCTGCCTTCCTCAACTATAGACAAAATTGGAAAAAACAGGGTCTTTCTTGCAGACCAGAAAAGGAAAACAGGATGAATTCTAGTGGCCTTCTCCATCCCCTTCACCAATATGATATAATCAGAATTAGGTTCACATTTCGTGCTTTGGTGGTATTTGTTGACAGCCAGTAAAATTTTCTAGTCATGAACATGAAACATAACAGACATCATCCATAACCAGACTCTTCCACCTCTCACAAACCCTCTAGTTCCACAGCCAAAGGTAGTGGCATATGAGAGGAATAATCTATAACCAAGAAAAATTACAAAAATGTAAATGGTATTTTATCAGTTAACAGACACACAACTGATATGAAGTCCTAAGCAGGACAGAATAACATTCCTTACCAGTCACATGATCTGTCACACTCCTATCCCTGCTGGTAATAAGAACTTTACAATGATTATCAAAAGCTTTTAATGTCTGAGAATCCCAAATGTCATCCAGGACCAAGAGAGACCTAATACAAGAAGAAATATTATACATTTGGAGTCAAGTAGTCACTTTAAAAAATAATAATTTTTAAAAAAAATCATTGCATTATTAAAATGCTACCTTTTAAGAAGCACTAACTGATGCAATTTGGGAAGCAAGTTCATATTCTGAATTTGTCTCTCAGAAAAATATTTAAATGCTTTACTTTTCACTCTTTTGCCAATATAGAATACATTCAGCATTGCTTATAATTCATAAGAGCATATTTTTGTCAATACTGAGCCACGAGTAGTTTGTTTTTCCCTCTCTCTCAATATCCATCAGGAAGTTAGAGGTAAGTATTTGTTAACATAATATAAAAAAAAGAAATGCTTTCTTATGTATAGGTTAAATAGCTGCATAGATGAGAAGAGCTCAGTTGGTCAAGCACAGAACAAACGTAAGTAGAAATTAAATTCCTGTTTACTTAGCTTGCTACATGTCTGTTTTTGCAAATCTTGGGGGGGGGGGGGGGGGGGAAGAGGGGGAGGGGGGGGGGAGGGAGAGAAGCTGTGTAGGAATAACTTTTGCCCTATAATTTTAGTCTGATATCACATCTCTATTTGCAGAAGTAACATTTTTCAAAGACTATCCATTGACATATTTCTGAAGCAGAGCTACAGTTATGTTTGAGAACTACGCTATGCTAATAGATATCTCAACAAACCAAATGAAAAAAGTCTTGCTTGATGCAATGCATATATAACCAAAGAAGCAATGGTCAAAGATGGTTGCCAAAAAACAAACAATCTCCTTTCCTTAAAAGAAAACCAGAGCAAATAAGTCCAGAAGACAGAATAAAACCTCATATATTTGCATTTTGAACACTTCAGGGGAAAATAATAATAATAATAAAGCTTTTAAGTTGTCACCTGAATTGTATTACACTGTTTACTTTTGTTTCTGATTCCTTATGGGAGAAATTTTCAACTGCTCCCATTGAAGTCAAGAGAAATTTTGTCATATTTACTTCAGCTGGAAGACAGTTAAGCCAATGAACATTTCTGAAAATTCCTCACTTTACATACAAATGTATGCACTGTATAGCTAAAAGTTTCAAAGTTGCTGAAGGGGGTCTTATTTTTTAAATTGGGCACCCAGACACATTAGATCACTGAAAGTCTTTTTATATGGGATAAGTTAACGATGAATTTATGTTAAGGTTACTACTCTCATCAGGAACATCCATTTGTGATAAAGAAAAGAAAAAAAAAGGTGACCAAACGCCAAGCATGAGAGCAAGTTGTGCTCGTGGCGTGGGGGAAGTAGTGGGCGCGGCCTGATAGCCGCGAGATCGGCGGTCCCGGCCCGCGCTGACTGGCAGGGGGCGGGCGGATGCAGCTCGTTTAAAAGGAAAAGCATGCGCGTCAAAAACAGGGACCCACGCCACATCGGAGAGGCCTGATCACCCTCACTGGAGGTCCTACGTCCACGAAATCCCTTCCCCCCGGACGCCCCCATCACGACCGAGTATATCATTCGAATGTGTTTAGAGCTCTCGAGTTAACAGCGAGTTTAATCTTGGAACTGCTGTAAAGGAAACCACCTATACGAAAGTGTGAGTAAAGCATTTATTTGTTACACCGCCTCCTTGGTGTTTTCTGTCGACGGAGGGAGAGACAGGAGAAGGAGGAACAAGGTCCCGTAACCCTTTCGTCCCCGGCCTGTTCGCGTAATACTTTTCTGGGTCCAACCACCCACCGTCAGGTTGGTCATGGCGTCACGAACAGGATCCTCGGGGCAAAAGGGGAACAAAGGAGACGTTGACGAGCTAGTCAGGTATTGCCCGTGGGGGAACCATCACCGGCCCCCGACCACGGACGCTGATACTTTATGGGCCCACGTGGCGTACCATCAAGCTGGACCCGTGCCAAGCCTACAGGCACAGACGACCACACTCTTGCGGAAGAGTACGCCAGGTGCATCCAGTACCTAAAGGAGGGGAGCGGCTGCGAAACCCCCCCCGATAAATTCAGATGCCCCAACCTCGATCCCAGGGGCGCCGAAAGTGAAATCCTAATGACACTCCGTGAGAGTCTTGAGACCGATGGGCGGGACGCCACAGGGTGGACAGGGCAAAAGTGGAATAAGGGAAAGATGATTAATATCCTGTTTCGCTCGGTGACCACCCTACTACAGCACGCGGCGAACCAAGCCAGCATGATAGATACGCTGACTAGGACGGCCACGCAGCAGAGTGCTGCACAGCCCGAGACACCGCTTAAAGATGGCGCCGCGGGGGAAGAAGAGGGAGTGGCCGAAAAGTTCCGGGCGGGAAACCACGACACTAGCGAAACACCGTCAGCCCCACCCGAGGAACCGCCCCCGTTTAACACCCTGCTGCAGCTATATTCCGCCCTCCCAGCTGACATAGGCGCACCCGGT